CCCACGTTTAGCGAAGGCTAATTTGTCCGGTGCCAGTCGGCGTGGTCTTGCCATGACTGGTGGTCCGCGGATGACTATGCGGTGTACCACACGATTGGTCATCGATGAAATCTCCTCGAGTGGTTTAGTTATTCTGGGGCATTTCTCGAATAAGGTGGGGAATTTATCGTCACGCGAATAAAAAGTGCCGAGGATTCGGTACGCGTTTGTGTGAGCTTTAAAGCCCATGAATTTACTGTTCGACGAAGTATCGATTAGCTGCAGCCTACGTGAATCGACTAGCAATTCATAGTGCTGTTGGAAATCAATGCCTAGTATGGCTGTGGGAACATCAGTAATGATGAACGTCCACAGATACCGTCGTCGGTTGCCCAGGTTGACCACGAGTTGTCGTGTACCGTAGGTAGGAATGGCTGAGCCATTTGCAGCGCGTAGTCGAAGCATTGTAGCTTGTGACTTGATGCTACCTCGTGGTACGACAGAAACTTGGGCACCTGTATCCACTAGGTACCTAGCGTTTGTGCGATAATCGTGCACGTAAAATAAACGGCCAACCTGGGGGGCAGGGCCGGCGAGTACGGCCGCTTTTACTCGCCGGCTTTGGAGTTTCCCGCCTTGTATGAGCACGGGGCTCGACAACGGCGGGCACCAGATCCGAAGGATCGATGAAACCAGCACCAACCCTCACTCGCTTCCGAAGCCACCTTTTGGCGTGGCTTGGAAGATGCCCTCGTTGGGTGAGTGTTGACGGCTTTTCGAGAGCGTGAGCGGACTCGAGGGACGTAGGGTTGGGGTACGTTACAACGGTCTCGAAAACTAAGACATGTGTGAATACACCCTTCCCTGTCACCTTGAGCCGAGAAGTGGCTGCCGTCAATATCGACTTTCGGACGCGACGTTGAGGCAACTACGTAGTTGTCTCGGTTGCCAGTTTTAGCTAGAATTTTGTCTGCTGTGAGGGCCACCTGTTTCAGTGGTGCGTCCTCGAGCAGGGCCGTAATTGTAGGTTGGATAAATGCTGGTAGAGATTCGAGCCACAGTTCTTCAACGATTTCAGAATCGGCTGCCGTGGGTCCTGCAAGAGATTGCAGGCGCGTGAGGTGGTGGCTCGGTTTAGCATCACCCAGGGGGTGACGTGCTAATAACGTCCTCAATCGTTCCTCCCTCGATGGGAGGAAATATCTGAGGATCGCCTCCTTGAGACGATCGTAAACATTGGGCACATTGGAATTGAGGACAACCTCACGGACAGCTACTAAATGGTCTCCCGGTAAACATTCGAGAGCGTAGGCGTACTTCTGCCGTTGGCTTGTAATATGACGGGTCTCAAATTGAGACTCTATAGCAGAAAACCAAACTTCGGGATCGTAAGTAATAAAAGATACAGGTCGAAAGTGTATAACCTGTACGTCAGAGTCTATTACGTTAATACTATTATTATCGTTATCCGTCATGTCAAATATATTATATGTTAAAAATTAATATGAAAATATATGACAGACGTGGATAGATAAGCGATAGACTCACCAAAATTGACTTCTTTTGAAGGTTTGGTTGCGATTGCCAAGTGGTCGTAGATGTAGGTTCACCAGTTGTAGAAGATTTGACCGAAGTTGAGGCGTGTTCCAAAATTTGGCTCACCAAATGTAGCGTGGTGTCGAGTTGAGCTTGACTATGAACACTGCTACAAGACTACGTGCCAATAGACCAATAAGATTCCGGTAGGCCAAAAATCAGAAGGCAGATGATAGTAGTAGTTGCAATATATTTGTTGGCGATCTCGTGGTATCGAAAGAATACCGAGATCGTGCCAAAGGAGTACAGATGCGATCGGCAAGAAAAGGTGCGTGCGTAGTCGAAAACCGCGTAAAAGGAATGGAATACAATGGAAGACCAAAATGGCTGTTATTAGCACAGTTAAACAAACGAGCACAGTAAAACAGTCACTGGTACAATTGGTTATAATAATAATTGTTTTCATCGAACCAATCGCGTTCTCTTAACAAAAGTAGGTCACTACACACTAATAAAATGTACAAAACCTATAAGGATGAGCAACATATCTAAGTAGCAGTGAAAGCAGACTAGGATCATACTGTATAACCTGTCAGGTGGAAAACCTGCCAGTAAATCCATCTAGGGTGTTGGATATCTATGTGAAATTGATTCCCGATTTTTCGTAACGAAACAATACACAGTACCTAAAGCCAATAGATACATTACAAAGCAATGTAATTCTTTTTATTAATCTAAAACGAATTGTTGACCTATCATTCACCATGAACTAATGAATAAGAAAAATGGATATATATTGTCAATCGCGTTTAATATGTAGCGTGGTGTCGAGTCGCGATTGACTATGAACACCGCTACAAGACTGCGTGCCAATTAACCAATAAGATCCCCGTAGGCCAATATCAGAAGGCAGATGATGGCTGTAGTCGAGATGTATTTGTTGGCGATCTCGTGGTATCGAAAGAATACCGAGATCGTGCCAAAGGAGTACAAGCGTGGTTACTGAGCGTAACCGGATTCGTACAAGTTCAAAGTCAACGGGAGAGTAGGTGTAATGGCTGTCATTAGCATAGTTAAACAAACGAGCACAGTAAACCAGTCACTGGTACAATTGGTTATAATAATAATTGTTTTCATTGAACCAATCGCGTTCTGTTGACAAAAGTAGGTCACTACAAATATTGTAATCAAGTCTGGAAGTTGAAGTAAACAAAGAAACATGATTTCCAGACACACAGGAAAGCACTGTTGTAAAGATTAATTATAAAACTTATAAGAAACTTAGTAAAAGATCACTGACTGCAGAGCACATAAAGAATAGTCTTTTAGGTGTTAATTACCGGTGAAACTCGATTCTGAAGGGCAGTCTGCCTCAAAACCCTCTTATAACGATGTCGTTTAACATGATATAGTGTAAAACTTTGAGGATGTGACAGACGTACAGTGTTTAAAAACACTGTCATCCGAAACGTAAAATACGAAAATCGCCGAAACCAGTTTGAACAGAAATCAAGGATGAAGGAGTTAGAAGATATATTTGAATAAAAGTCTATGTGTCGGTGTACTGGTTAGTTGTCGTAAGAGATGTGCAGCATGGAGCGCTCGAGTGTTATCTTGTGAGGATGCATGACCGAGAACCATCAGCTTGGATGTGTCCATGAAATGCAATGAAGTCGGCATCAATGTCAAATACCTGAAAAACTACTTCGTTTAAGGATTAATTTGTGACGTCTTCTCCAGGGCTCAGCAAAATACTGTCATTGTAGATTAACGACGTCACGTTTGTCAAATTTTATAGTTCAAACTAGGAAAATAACTTCAAGAAATGAATAGAGAGGTTATGCATAATCAGAAATTAGTACCTGTACAACATCATAGACGGCCAGTTTCCTGAAGACAGTTGAATGTTTGTTTAATATATTCACTTATTTCATTGTTCTTTTTGTTATTTTTAGGCACCCTACGTATATTTTTGGCTTTTAGAAACTAATTGTTAGAAAATCAACAGATGGCGAATCAGAAGGATGATTAGTGGTTACAACTAAAAACGTGACAGGTGGAGTGACCGAAACTATAAAAATATCCACAAATAAAGACGAAAACTTAGTGAGTGTCTAATCTTGTTAAGAAGTATTCGAAATCTCCTCTTTACATTTATTGAACATCCTTCACTTGACATAAGATTGTATTACTGATTCTCCTGTGAATATAACGGGATATTAATAAAACTCATGTTTTAACCTGACTCACTGAACAAAGAACTCACACATGTTTTTCTATAAGTTATTTTTCCCAGGATATAAAGCCTATAGCCCCTAGCAAAAGTGTTATTCACATAGCTGGTGTTTGTGAGTGTTAAGGAGTTTACAAACCGTTGCCTTATTAAAGAAAATATTACCGTCAAATATTTTAGACAGAATGACACGTCTGCAGACTCAGTGAAGAATCTTTGAACCCTAACTAAATTTTACGCCGTGTTGAACTCATCGCTACCTTATAGAACTGATCACCAGGCGTTGAATTGTTCAATGAGTTGTCTTGGGGTTGAGGTAAATCAACGTCCATTCGTTAGATCTAAGATATTAATCGACCGGTGCGTTATTGCGTCCATACTTTGTACATCCATAATCTGTTCCTTTGAATACGGGATATTATTCTGGCAAGTCTTCATTTATCTCGTAATTGAACTATAAGTGCAGAACAACCTGGCTGATAAGATAGAATGATTCAGGCCGGTGTACCTAAAGGATTGGATGACTTCGATATGCAATTATCAAAGTTAAGCGGCCGCGCTATTCTGTACATTTCCAATATACTAATGACCTACATTCATGGGCCCAAAGTGATCATTGTCTATTTTGACGTATGCTGATATGGTGATCGGATTATATTGTCAGGGTCGCTAAATATGCAAGTCTTCACGTCTAACCCGATAAATTTTGAGTTAGGGACAATGTAAGGAACAACTTTTTTAAGGATAGTTGCAAAGCAGAAATGAATGAACTTGTAATATTCATGAAAGTACTAACGTGAGGTATTGGATCGGTTACACTAATTCCTCTGGCTAAAAAGTACTGTCCCAGTGCCTGTGGCACTATAATCAGAGCTAGGAACAAGATCACACTTCGTCTTAGAGACTAAGTATCTACACAACCACTTGATACATAACAATATAATGCAGTAATATAATTGACAAAAAGTATCATGTAAGCCGGAATTGCTAGTAGATGGAGATAAGGAAGCAAAGGTCGTCCTTGAGACAAAAACCATGGAAACTGTTGAGAACGACAGAAAGTTTTAACTCAACTTTTAAGTCTGAAACCTGTTAAGATGTTTTTGTAATGCATGCAGTTGTGATGAATCAGAAAAATGAATGAACTTGTCTTCACTAAGTGCTTGCCACCTAAGGTTCAAGACACACTCCTGTGAATCTTCTCCAAAATTAGAAATTAGTCAGATCTGTCTAATTTAAAGGAGAGTCGATAGTTTCTCGATACAAATTATGATGAAATCGAATGATAAAATCTCCTATCAATGAAAACTTGCTTAGGACACCGATCAAAATGAGGAATGCCCTCATTTTAAAACATCAAAGTGACTTAAATTCACCAAGAACATTATAGCAATGCGAGTGATATTATGTAAAACTTTCATCATTCATCATTTATATTCGTTATTATTGTTTTAGAACAAGTCATAGTAGGAAATTTCAAACAAAAGAAGCACATATATTCATTAATAATTCTGTTAATTTATATATAGCACGAAAGTAAACTTACATAATAAAATGCAATTTCATGGATAAATAAAGAAAACCATTATGATTTAGTGTAATATTATAAATTGTTTTAAAGATTAGGTGATAATTCGAGAAAATATGTTAATATAAAATTTTTTAAATATATTAGGATAAGATTTTATGATTAAATTAATAACGATACATAAGATTGACAGATGTATTACAGTTCGTAACAAGAAAAAAAAAAAGAAAACATTACACTACAAAGAAAAGTGTTAAGAAAATAAAATGAAGCATATTATGAAAAACAAATTATTTGATGTGATTTCAAATGATCAGCTCTTGAAATATTTAATAGTATAGTAAATCCAATCATTGGATGATTAGTTTCATCATCATATACAAGCTAAAAGTTGATGAATAAAAGATAAATAAGATCTTGAAATTAAAGTACGTAATTATAGAAAAGTTGAAAATAAGTCGGATTAAATAAATTTATATTGAACTTTAGAACTAGTAGTAATAAACATATTCGGAAAGTTTTTTATTCCGAATTCGATTTTGTTTTATTATGAATATTTAAAATATGAATTGTTATGAATTAAAATGATGGACAATTCATGATGTTAGTGTGAAGAAAGCTAGAAGCGAACACATCAAGACATGATATTAAATCGTTAATTCATCAACTATTATATTAAGGCATGCTAGTAGGTGTAAACATTCTAATTCGTGAAAATTTAAACAGCTATCTCATTTTAATACAGGACTACTCAAAAGTGGATGGATGTAAGTAACGGTGGTGTGGATCTATTGCCTGGAGAAAGACTTCTCGACCTTGAGTATGCGGATGATATTGTCTTACTGTGCGAGAATGCCCAAGCTATGCAATCCGCACTTAATCAGTTGGCAATCAATGTCCTTAGGTATGGTATGTCCTTTGCACCTTCGAAGTGCAAAGTACTTCTACAAGACTGGCAGGATTCTAATCCTGTACTCACTCTGGATGGTGAGCAGATTGAAGTAGTCGAGAAGTTCGTGTATCTAGGTAGCTGCATAAGTGCTGGTGGTGGCGTGAGTGATGAGATCGATGCACGTATAGTGAAAGCCAGAGCGGCTTATGCCAATCTGGGTCATCTTTGGCGCCTTCGTGATGTTAGTCTGGCTGTAAAAGGTCGGATCTACAACGCGTCGGTGAGAGCAGTTTTGCTCTATGCTTGTGAAACCTGGCCTCTCCGAGTTGAGGATGTTAGACGACTCTCTGTGTTCGATCATCGCTGTCTCCAAAGGATTGCTGACATCCAGTGGCAACACCATGTTAGTAATGCAGAGGTTCGGCATCGAGTGTTCGGTCACAGAGACGATAATGCAATTGGTGTCACCATCTTGAAACACCGACTTCGGTGGCTTGGACATGTTCTACGAATGTCATCCCAGAGAATCCCACGTCGTGCATTATTTGCCGACTCTGGGACTGGTTGGAATAAGCGGAGAGGTGGTCAGTGTATGACATGGTGTCGTGGTATGAAAGAAAGCTGCAAAGGGCTGGCTTGTGTTGGTCCTTCACGACTCCCTGGCTGGGGTCCGAGAGATGGTGTAACTCAGTGGCTAAAGGCGTTATCAGATATGGCTCAGAATAGAAGTCAGTGGCGATCCTGCTGTAACCTTCTTTTACTTTCTTCATAAAAAGTGGTTGCTTCTTCTTTAGCTGAAAGATTTCTTCTGATTGTACCTTTCCGTTTCCCCCATTATTATTATTACATTATCTTACATTAAGCTGGTCATTATTGTTCTTTTTTTCTTTTACGCTCCTTACCTTCTTTTTGTTCTCTTCCCATTCTCATTGTTTTGTGTGGCGCATATATATTTGGTGCCCTCTTGTACCAATATTTATGTGTTCAAATAAATAAACTCAAAAGCGAATACCCTCATTTGGAATTGGACACGAGACCCTCAGTTTTTAATGGTCAATGGTAACACAACTGAGATTAGTCTGTTATAAATCCAACTGACAAGTTGAACTAGTCTCTTTTAAATTTTTTCAACTAACGTATATGTACATAAATTCATTTTTATGCATTACCTGTAATAAATATGTACTTTCCAAAGCCAAATTTATAAGTTCTTCAGAATCTAATTTTGAAAGATTTGTCAATAATTCTGTAAGATAAGATTCTAATTTTCGTTGACTAATATAAATATTTTCTTGGTTATTTTCCAGTAATTTTAACTAAAAAGGAAAAGTGAAATCTCGTAAGAAGCTTTTTTAGTGAAATAATCAAATATCGAAATGATCGATTATGGATAATACAATTGGTAAACGAACTGTGTACTTAACAAATCATTCTATTACGTCATTAATGTTGAATATGAAATTGTCTTTATAATGTGATTCAATAATTTGGCACCCATTTACTGGTCAAATTATTCGTTCAAATTCAAATGACTTCATATAGAAATTAAATTGATTACTTTTTTCTAAATTTCAGTAATAATCAGTAAAACTTGAAAAAATTTATCATAAAACACACAAATTAGTGACGAAACTACTGAAGTCACCTATATTTAAACGGTTAACTACAGTTTTCAAAGAAGGAACTAAATTTCATTGAATTTTATTAGAACAAGGATTTTATTAACCTTAAAGAGTGAAACAGAATAATTCATAAAAATTATAACTTATCACAAGTCCTACCTTACATTAAATGAATTTATAGAATTATCAATATAATCAAACAATATAGTTTTCGATATATTTATGATATTCTGATATATACATTGTAGTGGACGAGAACACAAGTGGAAACAATAGAATGTAATTGAGTATAAAATTACAGAACATAGTAAAATCTGTGAACCATACAGTGAATACTTCATTTGCAAAATGTCAATCAGTTGTCGCAAACTTGAACGTTCCTTTAGCAAATGTCAATTAATCGTCTCAGACTTCACTGTTATTGTATTTCCACAGCAATCATTCACTGTTCTCATTCTCATTCCTTAGATCTTTTTAACCTTCTACCTGCCTCCAGGAACTTAATTTTCGATTTATGATACATACTAATTATATCTGTCGACATCAGTAGCACACACCACAACAAAATCGACTACTGGACTACTACTACCTAGTAACATTTACTCTTTAGTTAGATAATAATCTACTCAGAAGTGTTGAACAATGTGACTGCGACACATTGTTATGATTTTTTGTATTCCTTAGTTAAACCAAAAAATTAAAATCAGCACAGTAAATTATCGTTATTTCTATGGAGATTTATTTATATAAGTAGTCTCACTAATATGTGAAAATCAATTAGTTTTTATGTATTTTATTTTAGTGTTCAATTTCAAAAGCCTTATTTTAATTTGCAAATATCTTGTAGGGACAGTGAAATGTCATTGAGCTCTAGCCACATCATCCGGTAGTTGGGTTTCTTCATGTTCACCGATCCTCTTCAGGAGCAAGGATAACTAACGCATATCAGTTAATTGAATGCCATGGGCTGGCCTATGCAGAAGTGGTTGTACTCTGTTCCTTGTACCTACACATACTAATATATTTCTGTAATAAGGTCGTTTGTGTTGTACGGTCATTAACGCAACCATAGTACCTGGATACGACATATATTTTATCGTTTTTTTTGAAGATCATTGGTATTGTTGTTTTTGTTTTCTTAATTCTGCTTAAGATGGAAAAGTAAACGTTCAATGCGCTAAGTGATAGGTGGCAATCAAGAATCAGTTAGGACCTAAATATAGTACATGGAATGTTGAGTCACCTTAACTAGGGATTAGATAGTAATTTAACCAATAGAATTTGATCAGCACTACAGATTAGTCAAGCATGATTTCGCTTATTAATTAGTGTAAATATTTAACAACTTTTGAAAGTCAAATTTATGACACAATGTTCTGATAGATGAGATGCCATTAAACAAAATCGAATGCATTTCCTTTTATATTCATTTTTATGCGAGCTCAGAATCAAAAAGAAATTAGAAACCTTTTCAAGATATGATTTACGAATAAATACTTATTTAAATGTTGTCTATTTTCGGTTTTAGTATGCTATTGTGTGACGCTTTTCAAGGACGTCTTAGCATTGTTTATATCATGCATGAGTTATGTGATTAATATTCGTTATTTTAGGCTGCATATCGAATTATACATGTTCCTAACTGAATCTGGTCTTCTTTCTCTAGTTAGCACGGCTGGAGTGTAGAGAAATAGCCTAGTTTGTCCTGTTGTTGAGTTGCTGATTTTCGTTTCATTTGCCGGTTCAAGGTGATGTCACAATTCATCAAACATAGCAGAGATGATGTTGAAATAATTTACAACATAAAATTACATGTTTACATAACACAAACAAAACATAAATATAGATGCTTTTTTCATATTAGTTGTTTAAGTCTTCCCGTTGATATTAAGGACTGAAATTGATCAGTCTTATATTGGCATATGTGCATCTTGTGAGGATTTCCTCGATATTGCCTGACGTCACAAGGACTATAAGCAGAGACAGATACGGATTAACCGTGAAATCTAGGACGTGCGTTTCATCCTATTTAGGACTCATCAGCTGAATGTATCTGCTAATACTAAAATGAATTAAAACTTCACGCCACTGTACAAGCTGATGGCTGTCTGAACTCAGTAGCTAAGTGGATAACGTGATGACGTTTGAAGAGAACGTACTGGGTTTGAGTCTCGGAGTGAGAATCAATTCTGGGATGCAGGCAAATCCAGCTGACGAGTCCCGAATAGAACGAAACGCGCGTCCTAAATTCCAGTGCTAGCCACCATCTATCTCTGCTTATAATAAATACAGATGGATCTCAGCTAGTAGTGGAAATAAAACACGCATTTCTTCATATTCAAAACTTGTCACTCGAATATCTCAGGGTTCTAGCGTTGATGTTCGCACGAGAATTCAAGTCCAATAATTTTAATTTAAAAATCAACACATTATCCACTAAGCAAGTGAATTCATGTAAACGCTGGTCTGATAAAAGAGAACTTGATAAAATGTAATAAAAACAGATTATTTTTAATTATCGTAAATTAACTGACATAAACTTACATTAGTTTCTGTCTCTGTGATAAGTTGGTTGAATGTGAAAATTTTTGTAGATAATTTTAGAGATTTTTTTCTAGAGCAAATACTCTTGAATCTATTTAATACAACAGTATGAGAATAAAAAGAAAAACATACGATTTTATCATTAAAACAAATAAGTAAATAATTATACGTCACTTATAAATTGCTTTAAGTATTACTTAGAGTAATGAGATGGAGTTGATCTGAAAAATGTGACTTTTACCTGCGCTAAATATAATTCGAACAAACTAGTCAAATCCTTGTCAAAACATTTATATTTCAAAACTAATATAAAGGTCAATTAAATAAATGCTTCTTGAAAGGAAGCACGTAAATGAAGTTATAGGATCGACTTTAAAATGGTTTTGAAAGCTTCATACAGAAATTGTAAAGAGTGAATTTTTAAGTTTATAGAAGTTTTGGCCATTAGAAAACTCAAATCTCCTTTATGCGTATAAAGACAATTTATCCTAACTTTGAATCTGTCCTGGTGATTTTCAATCCATTTTAAGGCCTACAATAATGTGAGAACTTCTAATTCTTCCTTTATTGTACTACATTACCCTCGTTCCTTTATTTACAATTATTACCTTAAGTTTATTCGACCTATTTAATTGACCTTTTTCAGTTTTCATATGCTAATATCAAACTGTTCAAAATGTATTCCACAAACACATCACATCCTTTACATGAACTCCATCTTCTTAAAATAATAACAAAATTCATAAGTCGGATTAATTGTTTTGAATATTTTAAATGTCCCAACTCAGCATTGTTGAATTAGTCGGAGATGTTTCTTTCGTCAAAAAATATCATGAATAAACAGAAATCAAATGATAATAATCTTTAGAAACAAAATATCACCGGTTAAATGCATTAGTAATACTAAAAACGGAATTTATTACCAATAACTTTTAACATTTTTTCGAGATAAAAATAATTATCTATGCTTTATGACATTCATTCTAGTGAGAAACCGTGGTCGACGGGATCCAACGGTTTCGGGTATGAGAAAGGCAACTACCGAAGACAACGGAATATGATCGTGAAATACTGTGAATTGATTGAAATTAGACTTATACACCACTGGATCTTGGTTCAGGAGAGTAGAAACTAAAAGTTCGCGCAGGAGAGAAAGGTCCTGGGTTTGATCCTCGATGGTGAGGTCGCGGATGAGCATTGATGTGGAGTCTGAAATTAGAACGAAAAAGCTGTCCAGTGCTTTGAGGTTACCTAACTTAGAGTGGTCCGTGATCTCTAACATCCAATTTTCGTTTGCTTTTCGTACTATGTGTATATTATTGGTTTTTAGGCGATTATATGTTGAAAGTTAATCAGACGATAGAATGGTTGAATTTCTATTTGAGGACCCAACATTATTCTTTGTACAGGTGTAACAGTTAATAATTATAACTTTTTTTACCATTAAAGTACGTAGTATTCACTTTATCGGTTTATATTTAACAGTATCTGTTATAATCATACAGTCGATCAATTAATTACCATGGATGTATTGTGGTATTGCAATTATTTTTATGTAAGTTAACTTGGACAAAAAAATCCTTGGTTTCAAATTCAGTGATCTAAAGGTAACGCGCTCGATTTTTATAGATTTGCAGATGTACACCGCTGAGAAGTTTCATTTTAAAATGATACAACTATCCAAAAGCTCATTGGTTTTTAATTATCAGACTATTGTCACATCTTACTAGTCGACAAATCGCTTTTCGGTAAACACGTCACTTTGCAAGCTTTAAGAGGGGAGCTAATACTCTTTGAACATTCACAATCCAAATGTAAGTATAAGAAAAACAGAAGTAAACTGTAATAAAATATATTACATAATAAATTGATATGAATTATTTGGTAATAGGTAATTTTTATTTGCATTCTCTATCTAAAATGCCAGTTAGTGTTTACTATAAAACAAAGTGAATTAAAAGGGGTTTAAAAGAGATAGAATAAAAGTATAAAAACGATTAGTATCTCTTGATTGTTCTCTTTATGAGCGAACAACATTGAGTCACTATGCATAAGATATTGAGACTAAATACGTTCATTAAAAAGAAACAAATCCTGTGTCAATCATTTTTGTTATTATGTGTCTGTTTATTAAAAAAATTGACCAATAAATGATCTTCTTAAAGAGATCTAAAACTATTGAGGCAAAATTGCATCTACTTTTTACTACAGAATCATCTATTACAAAAAGACAATCCCGAACAATAAGGGTAATCTTTTTGTACAACTAGAAGTTTTAGGAAATAAATGAGTTGTGGCTTGTAATGGAGTCCATGACATGCCTTTCATCCTAATTGAGACTATAATTACCTGGATGTATCTGAGTCCAACTGTTGTTTTTTCTTATAAAGAAATTCTCTATTTATAAAGAACAAGTTCTAAACAAGATCAAACACATGTCCTGGATTCTACTGTTAGCCATACTCCATCTATTCTATATAAACATGTGAAGTAATAAACAAATTAACTCAATCTGCATAGGTTGCACAAATATCAAATAAAAATGATCCAAACTTAGTCAAAATATCAATGACAGGATAATTCAAACCATTACAAACTAAATTAAAACGTCATAATTTAAAAAAGAAACTGTATATTCATTCTATAATCTTACACTTTTCTCATGCAACAAAATTGTAACTAATTGGTGTAATCAACATTGGAAAAAAACAAATTGAATATCATCAGTTATCTGATATGTATTTATTTATCTGTGGAAATGAATTCATAACCTCCCAGTGCGGTTAAGTAAAGGTGTAGTCAAAACGGTTAACAGCTCCATTTTAACCCACTTAATTCAGACGGGACATACAATCAATATGGAGCAATATTTCGCAATAATATATTGTTTTAACAGCAGTCTGCCTAATTCCGTCATAATGAGAATCCTGCAAACGGCTGAAACGATTGCTATTCGGATCAAAAAGCCAGAGCTTCACACATCCAAAAAAATATGTTCAGCCGCTCCTTTTACCCTGGCCAACCAGTTAATAGTCAATTTTACAATATGGTGACGTAATTCGATTAATGTTCATTTTTATGTCCCAAACTTACACTTGATAACCCTTTTGAGAAATTTATTCAGCATCCACCCCTATCTACTATATGTGACCTAATTCATATTATTCTACATATTACGTAATTTCTGATTTGCATTTACATCATTCTCTCTCCCTCACCCTATGTTGACCATATTTATTCTGATCATTTATCTCACTATTTCATTTTATTTATAAACTGATCCAAGTTAACACTTGATATTAGTCAACCTTAACATTAACGATTTGATTTGATTTTGTAATACAAACAACAATTATTGATTCACATATTACAATTTTAATTGATGTACCCTGCCTTAAATCTGGCCAATTTTATGGATTATTAATTTGAAACCTGATGAGAAATTATCGAAAAAAATATTCTTCATTCATATTAATTGTGTTTTAATATAATGGGAATTTTTCAGAAAATAGTAAAGTGTACAAACATTTGTACATTTATTAGTTGAATTATATTTTTAAAAAATAGAGAAAATCATAACGATAAGTTTAAACAAAATAATAACTTACATAATAGTTGTGGATAAAAATGGATTACACATCAAATGGTTAGCATCTGGTAAATCAATCTGTAAATTAGTTAATCAATACAATTTTAGGATTAGATAATTTTTCTTTGGATTTATTAAATTTTCGATGGTAACAATAATTAAGAATCTTCAAACAATAGCATAATAATGTTTTCATTCATTTTGCTTTAAAGAAAATCCTTCATTTTTGAAGAAGTTATATGCTCTATGAAATGGATGTTTTGTGTCGTGTATTCTAAACTTATCTACCACGTACTAACTCATATATTTGGTTTCGAGCCACATTGTAATTGCAAGGGTTAGTGATTCTATTCGACTACTCAAGCAGAAGTGTTCGAACCTATCACTTGGTGAATAAAAATTAGAAGATTTAACCATAGGATCATGGCTTTAAGTATAGACCACCCAGACCAGAAAACATAACACTTTCAGAATCTTCATTTTAGTAACATGGTTTATTGTAGATAGTTATAAATAAGTCTAAGAAACATGAAACTTACCCTTAAATTCATAATAAAACATTTTTCAGGTTGATTTCTAAGAGTATGTGGCCAATTTATATCAATATGTTGAGGTATAATATCAGATTGATTTGAATCCATTTGGGAGTGAACTACACTAATTGGTGAGGATGAGTTAAGTATAATCAAGGCTTGCTAAAAGAAGATAATAAATAAATTAAAACAATTTATTTCATTCTTAAAATTTGGTTATATTTTCGTATTGCATAATTTTCAATTCAATTTTTAATTCAAAACTATTGAAGTATCACAGAATTCAAAAGAAAAATTAATAAAAGTTACTGGCAACATAGTGAATTAAAATATTTCTTTTAGTTTTACATCAAAGACTGAGCTTAGTTAGATTATCATTAAAAACAATGAAACATTGAATGGATAATTCGCAAAGTGATTGGAGTTATAAGTACAATCTGTTGCATGCTAGCTTAATAATCTAAAGGCTTGGCGTTCTGCGCGAGGCCTAGAAGTTCTGGACTGAGCCCTTGATGAAATGAATGTGGATAGCTATCTGGTGCTTCCTCGTTTCTGATGTCTGTATAACTAAGGTTGGTAAGTGATGTAAAACAAAAGACTTTAGCAAAATGTATAACCATCCATACGAAAAAAATTTCTGGTTATCCCTCATGGCAATGTAAGACTACTAATTAAAATGAAAAAAGTTTAAATGAACGTATCAGATTGCAGTACCTAAGTTTTTCTGAAGTTACAGATACGCTTTAAAAACATTCCTGGAACTCTGTTTCAGTGTCATCGAAGATTTTGTCTAATGAGGATTAGTGGTCAGAACACATATCTAATCAACAAAAATAATAAGGACTAAATGGCCTGAATCCTAATTTTGTTTACGATTTGGTAACTAAAGTACAGAAATATAAAATAAATATGAAAGTCTACATACAACCGATACCTCTTACAGACACCATGGTACCATAATTAAAGTTTTGAATGATAGGATTCATTGTTAACAAAAACTTTGCCAACAATTTGTCCTAATAGGCTCATAACCATCGATAAAAAATGGAGTTAAACTGATTCTCATTGTTTCAAGTATTTTCCTTAAATGGAAAGGATTTTAATTATTCGAAGAGTTCACTACTAATGAGTAATATATATATATATATATATATATATATATATATGTACGGAAAATGCTGACGTAGAAAAACGGTTATTCATCATTTGATCCGTTAAAATGATAAATAGCTACAACGATTCATCGCTATAGCATCGGTTTTTACTCATGTGTTGATTTGTTTATCACTCGTCAACTTATTTTATGAAAATGTGAATATTAAACACAGTAAACTTCGCCTGTAGCTTTTCTAGAGTTACTGTCGTTCCCAAGTCCGGGTAAAGAAGGGGAGGTGGGCATGGGGTCAACAACCCCTTCCTGTAGAATACAACCTTGCTGCAAAAGAAACGCGGACTAGCAGGAAATAAAAAGTTATAATACATCGTATATTAAAAATGTCGAAATACAATTAATTCGATCTTTTTTCAAATATGCACAGAAAAAAATGCAATTGGTAATAATTTAAAAAATCTTAAATACAATAACTTATGTAAATAAATTTAATAAATAATTCTTACTTCATTTGTAGAATGATGAGCCTGGGCAGAATTACACATGTATAAATCATAATACATAAGGTGTATTTCATCCGTTTGAATAATACTTAGTTTATTAAGAATAGTTAATTTTTTCAAATCTGTATATTCAAGAGGAGTGACTGGAAGTTGATTTTGTAAAATAAATTAAAACAAAATAATCGAATATAATCAGAGTTATTTAACTCTCGAAAAAATATCAATAAAGTCATTTTCTATAATATTGGGCATAATGAACAGCTGAATTATGAATTTCTTAAATATTTCAAAATTTTCAAATTATTTTTACATATCGTTTTGTGAAATTTTAGAAATGGTTTATAACACAGTTTTGTTGTAAAATGGTATTTTCCTAGTTGGAAGAAAATACTTATTAAATTTCATGGAAATCACAAATCAATCAAACTTAGATATTTACTGAAAACCTAAAGGCACTGGACAACCGTTTCGTCCTAGTATAGGACTCTTTTTCAGTATTCATCCACAACCCTGAAAGAGCGAACCGAGCCCAAAACCTACTGTCTAGCACTTATTAAAGTATTTAGTCCTTATAATTGTGCTCACTAATGATTCGGCTTCAAAGAGGAATAATGTTGTATCTACCACAAACGGAACAGATTGGACAGTGTTTTCAAAATGAGTAAATGAAAAGTATGAGATTTTATATGCCTACTATATCTTCACTTAGTCACAATAGAATGCTAGTGAACTGTCAAAGCGACATCAAATAAAACTTTTAACTAAGATTTATACTACTAACTAGTAGTCAGATTATTTGAAGATTTTTATTAAGAAATAATCCAAAACAGACCTAATATATAAAATAATATAAATTTTACGAATTTTTTTCATTCAAAGGACGTATTTTAACAGAGACAGTTGACATTAGCAATACTGTTTACACGAATTGAACGAGTTAAAATACTAGTAACAGCAGAAATATGCAAAACAACAGTCATTGACATTCTTAAGTAATCGTTTTTCCACAAACAACCTCAATTAGTCTCAGGATGAAGTAAATGATGTAAGCGAGTTTTGGACAAAAAGTGATAAATTCAAGTGATTTTGAAACAACGTTTCCGAAGTTAAGACAACTACTTATTTTGTTGAGATATTATTTTCCCAAAAGATTCATTTCAGCCACTTAAAACATATTGACTATGGATTACTTTATGATTGTGAAGCATGATCTAAGAAGATAGAAGTAATACTTAGAATCGAGGTCTTTTATCATAGGTATCTTCGAAGAATAGCTCACATTTTGTGGACTGATTAATTGAACAACAGTGAGGTTAAGTATACGGTATTGGGCAAAGGTATGATATCAGCTAAAAAGGTTTTAAATTTTCACTGACTGAGATGGTTAGAAAATTTGTGACGTGTACCCAGCTACCGTCTACTTCAGCCAGAGATGCTTTCTGGTGTAAAAGCAAACTTAAAGAAGGCTAGAGGTAGCCAGAAAATAGATATGGTATTACTCAATGAAGTAATTGACTGATGATCTAAGCCATGATGGTAGATGCAGATTACCTGGTCAGCGTTCTTGTAAGACCTTGAAAGGTTCTTATTGTGTAAAGCAGTATTGATTTTTTTAACAATGAGTACAGCTTGTCAAAATCTTATTGTTAATCACGTGTAGCTTATATTGAAATGAAAAACTTGGTAGTATATAGTATGACTTACGTTTTATTTTATTCAAATTAGAACAAAGTAAGAAAACTGTAATACGTTTGAATAATTTTAAAGACTATTAGTGATATGCTGTAAACTGTTATCCAATGGCTTTATTGGTTTATATTTATTACAGATTCAATTTGATTTTACGACGGAATGTAAAGTACAATTAATATCACAAGTGCTTAAAAATGTTAAAAAAACTAATCTTTTTATTTAATTTAGTTGATCTTAAAACCATTCCATAGCCTGTATTGCATCAATTTATATGTTACTGGTTTAACTAAACTTATTTCGCTAGCATACTTTGTAAAATTAAGTGAAAGTATATATATTTGTGGGGGTTTGAGTTGATAAATCAAGTTTCTGATGTGAACTAAATTCAGAATTAAAAGCCTTCAAAAACCTATGCCTTTAAAACAATAGTTTGCTCACTAATGATTAAACGCAAAATGGATTCTTGAACTTCTTGTGACATACTGTGACAGATGAAATTCAACAATTGTAGCAGTGACATGAATAATATCGATCGTTGTGGATATTATTTATATAATTCCTTGAAATGAATTACGTTGAACCATTTAATTTTGATGTAGCGTACTAAAGGTTTGGTGTTGAACGTGAAACCTGAAAGCCTTGCGTTTAACCCTCTATGGAGTATTGGGTTCCCGCTGTTGAAAATTTCCAGAAAATAATAGAATAACCTCTTAACACTCAATGCTTTGCAAAACTTTCGATCTAGATCCATGATGTAAAGAGATTTTAGTTTATGCGACATATCATTTAAGTCCCAAAATCGAATTAATTATCAAAATCCGGGAAATGAATAAACAAGAACTTAATTTACCTTGAGATAAAAATGTCTCAACGCTAAATGATGTATTCTTTTCTAGTTTAGAATTCGAATTTCCCACATTAAAATTTGATTGCTCAGTATCTTCATGAATATCTATAGATGGGGAGAAACCACATAAATCTGAATCATAAATATCGTCGAATGAATATTCAGCCGATTCTTTTGATCGTCGACGTGCTAACACTTGAATATGACTTGATACTTGTTTTCTTGTCCTAGTTTTGCCCGTTCTAAGCTTGATATATCGTGCAATTAATTCATTTCGTCCTGTATTTTAGCAAAATAGAAAAGATAAACGTATATTTAGATGACAATAAAAACTACAAGTGAGCACTGAGAGAATATGATTGAACGAAATACAGTATGTTAGAAAAATGAATAATAAATATTAAGTGACCTACTCTAGTAAAAGTTTAAACAACAATGTTCAAGAGTTCAGTCGTATATAAAAATTGGGAACAAAGGTATGTGTAAAATATTGTTAGCTGAAATCATACTGAATTTTGTGTAAATAAAATATGCTTTAGTAAATTCTGAATCACTGAAGAAAAGATATCCAATTAATTTCTGAGATACCATAGGTGATCAAATGAACAGTCTTCTTACATAATTTATTTACTATATTTATACAACAATTCCATAAATTAGATGGATCATACTAGTGTTCGATGTAAATACAAAAGCAAAGGAGGTTATAGACAAAGATAACACAGTCTATTGAATAAACAAATAATATATCTGTATCTAATTGTAGATATGAATGTTTACAAACTAAATAAGTCTGATAAGACCAATTAAAACGATCAGAACAGGCAATAATATAATGATCAATTAGTTATATGACGTTTGGAGAATCAAATTAAAACAAAGTTGAATTTTTATAACCACTTAATTATTATAAGTTTATCTAGTTGATACTGATCAGCACATAGATAAAACTTCAGCGTTTATTCTATGGCTCCTGAATTAGATTCTTATATACAACAAAAGCTAAAAAATCTAACCTTCGTATACAGAAAAAGTTTATACAGCCTTTAAATCTATTCCGGCCTTCTTTTTAGATACTATCACATGTCTTAAAACATTTTTTCTTTTAGAATCTCTCGAACTTTGATTCTATTAGCAATTTAACTTCTAAATCTAATCTTACGCAACCTGTTCAATGATCTTGTTACTTAATTTTCGCCACATTCGTTCTACTAATTACTTATCATTCATTTCACAGATAACAAAACCATTTATATTTACATTCAATTCCAATTCATATTTCTACTCTAATGTAACTGTTTATATGAATTAACTGATTATGAAAATTCAACTTAGTTTAAATTTTTCTAAACTAATTGGAAAAAATAAACAAAACATTTCTTCACTTAACTTGTCTTTTGAAATTATCAAATAGTCATGTTATATGGATAGATTTTTCGAAGCAAACTAATACAAAAAGCAATATCTATATTGTACACCAATGAATTGATACTTAGAAATTCATCATGTATTGATTGTATAAATCTTTCCATTGACTTATAGGACTACAATTGATCAGTTTCTTATTAACAAATGTATATCCTTTGTGGATTGCTTAGATATTGACTTCAGTCACAAACATTATAATCAAAAATGAATGGTAGCTAACAATAGAATCAAGTTTCAAATAGGATGAAATCAGTATCTTGGATTCCACTATTAACCACCATTCATTCAGCCTATCCACAAAATGTTAATAATAAAATAATCATTAGTATATTAACACCACTAAAACACCGATATAACATTTGATTGATTATATCAAAAGATAATAGATTTATAGACATTTATTTATTTAGAAAGAAATAAGTAAATAAAATAAGATTAACAATTATGTAATTAGTCATTTGGGAGCTTTGTTTGTTTAATTATATATACTGTAAAACATATTAAATGGGAAGAAATGATCAACAGATTTATAAAATTGTTTGAGCTTTGTTCTCTTTCTGAAAATCAATAATTTATCTGTTTGTCCACACTCTCCATGTTAACTCAAAACCTGTTAGCAATGAAATATGAAACTTTATCTATATGAGAACCATGCACATATACATACACACACAAACAAACAAAACAATTTTAATGACGATTCGACCAAATAGTCGAAATTAAGGAAAAATATTATAGTTATAAATATATTACTAGTGAACAAAGAGTTTTGTGTTGTTGTTATTGTTGAGTTAACCAATATATGTACAAGAGATCAAACAAGCAAATTGTACATAAAGACTGATTCGACAGAAATATTATTCAGCCTATGTTATAAGAAACTAATTCAGAAACACATAGAGTTTATTTTATTCCCTACAATAAAAAAGAAGTATGACGTTGAAATTAAAATTAGATATGTTTAAAACTTCATGAAAGGGGAAAATAACCAAAACAAATGAGATAAAAGATAAATATAAGTTAATTAAGTAAATGAATTGTTCTAACATATGCTTACTGGTGACTGACTTCAAGAGGTATATCCTGGAGTTCTAGTGAAAAGCAGTCACCAGTGGAGTTCAACCAGGTCTGCTGTGACCTAGTAACTCACTGATGAAAATGTTGGATGTGTCGTTAAATTTTGTGGATTAGTTGACGTTAGACATTAACACCGTTGGATGCCGGCTCAGTGATCTACAGGTTAGGCGCTCCCGCGGGAGACTGATAGGTCCTGGGTTCGAATCTCACGGGGGGCGAGATCGTGAATGCGCACTGCTGAAGAGTCCCATAATAGGACGAAACGACTGTCCAGTGCTTTCAGGTTTTCCATGGTGGTCTAGCTTCAACCGACTCATGATCTCAATCATTGAAATTTAAAATTCTATTTACAAATAATTTTAATAGTATTAAAGTACTTAAAGTTTCAAATGAGCCTGGACATATAGATAGCATTCATTATGGGCTGGTATTGCCAAAATTATAATAAAAAATAAGGGGCACTTGACATCTATTTTCTTCTTATCATCTGATTTTTTCATTAGTACACTCTGGAGAACCCATAGGGAGCTCAACACAGTAAAATATAATTTATCTGGAATATATATACTACTTCCACTTCTCTGGTATTCGTCTCGATGATTTTATGTCACTGATAAGATGTATATTTATAAATACCATTTATTACAAGATAAAGATCTGGAGATGAGAAGATTGTCACAGTTCGTTCATGATAGGAATACTTTAGATTCAAGAGATATGTTCCAAGAACAAGAAAACTGAACTGTTGTCCAAACTTCTACTCAAGTGTTAGGAGCTAGCATTGTATAAACTGGTCTCCCTTTTATGTATTCTGCCCATATTCCGTCACTGGATTTTGCCCTATAACACGACTCACCTATTTTTCAACCATGTTGAAGTTAGACACGGGGTTCTATGTAAAATTGCAAATTGGTTGATTAGGTAGAGAATTGTCATTGATTGTGGTGGTCGGGACGTGGAGTACGTATGCCGAACAACAACAACAGCTTACACCGACCCGTTACGGTTACTGGTGTGGGAACAATCCCAAAATCTATTAATTTGCGATGATGCGTTCGTAGAATGATACCTGTTTGAAGCTTGATAGACTTTTGATTTTGTAAGCAAACAACTGTCAAGCTCTTACGTTCTTAAATATAGTCAGAAACCATGTAGGATAGAAAATTAATTCATTCAACATGCGAACTTATTACTTACGGATGTACATTGTAAGATAGGAGTAAACTATCAAATAAATTAAGGAAACGAACCAGTTACTCTGCTACAACATGCCATAAGCTACTATTGGGTTGAACTGAATCGCTATTTAAAATTTGGTGCTTTCGTTTTTAACTAAGACAAAGAAAGTGAACTTTCAAATAAAGCAGTTGGTAGTTTATTTTAGATGATTTTCATATAAATGTATAATGAACAAAATACTTATGCCATGAAGTACTTGTAATCGATTGGAAATAAAGTATACTATCCATAAAAATTTTTTCATTTTACTGATATATTCCTTATATATATAGGCATGAAGGCTAAAACAAGGAATAAACATTTCATACACATAGTTCCCTTTAATATCTTAGAGAGCAAGAACAAAGATTGATGCAGAATAATATGAATTCATTTTATTTCGTTTGGTCCTCATCAGTTGTTTACAACCTAAAATATTTGAAAATCAGAGTTATTGCAGATATTGAAATACTTATACATAAGAGGGTGATTAAGGATAAATATATGTATCATGATGTAGCAGATATCTGCCAAAGCAGTTACGTTGATAGAACAGAAAGCAGAGCCTTCGTCCGATTCAAAGAACATATTCCGAAGTGTTTAAGATCAAACGGACTACAAGCATTCAGAAGTGCCATCGCAAGACATCTCCTTGACACAGGACACGAAGTCGATACACTGAAGTCTTTCAAGGTGATTAACAAACAATTAAACTCAAACCTTTTGAAATTTGTCGAAACGATAGAAATCAAACGTCTAAAACCAGATCTATGTATGCAAAAAGAGACAGTAATAAATCTTTCTTTGCCCCGGTAACATTACCCCCCTCCTTATTTATTTGTTTATTACGTCATTCACTACTCCAACTTTTTCTCAATTTTTAAAATTACCTCATTCATAGATGACTGATTTCAATTCATATCTTTCTTTATTACCATTAATCCATTTTCAGTTATTTTATTACATAATCACCTAATGTTTTTTTTAATTCCATGAGTTCTAATCACTATTTCAATGTTCTGGAACCTTCCTTCTCAAACTATTTATTCGAAACAGAATTTTTTGACCTCATTAACTCTATGGCAATCTTCGCTACATCACGATACATATATTTATCCTTAATCACCCTCTTATGTATAAGTATTTCAATATCTGCAATAACTCTGATTTTCAAATATTTTAGGTTGTAAGCAGCTGATGAGAGCCTAACAAAATAAAATGAATTTACATTATTCTGCACCAATCTTTGTTCTTGTTCTCTTTAAAAGAATGAACAAGAAACTTTGGGTATCGAATAATCACTGAACTACATCCCAGGTTTTTAGATCGAAAATCTAACAACCTAAATAAAACTGTTGTTTTCTTGAGAACATAGTCGACATATACTCTGATACAAATATCCAGTGGTTTAAGCTGTTATGCTTTTGACAAAATACCAAAACACTAAAAATGGGGGAAAAGATCAACTGTAAATTTAACTGTTGTAAATCCTAGTATGCATTTTGTAACTGGACTGGAATAGTGTAGTGTTAGTGCTTTTATATTTTCATGGCGGCGTTCCAGCTTATTTATCAAGAAAATGCCGGTTCCTAATACCTAGTTTTTTGTCTAATTTCATCTAGAAATATAACAGCTTTTAATAACTGACACAAAGTATAAAGTCAATGGAACATCTGAGAATGATGCAACAGCCTGACTCGTCCTCATCACTAATATGCTTATCAATTCATAAAAGCTCGTTTTCTACAAGGAATTAAACGCATTAAATAGTCTTTTAATACAACTGTAAATGGTAACAATGATCACCATATAATTTACAGGAAAGAAATATTGTGGAAGCTTAAGCCAAACTCTAGTGATCAAACTTCCCAATGGCAAAAATGTGATGGCTATCACTTGAAAACGCACATGTACTTCTTGTTATGCCACTTTCCCAGTATTGTTTGTAAAAGTAATTGTTAATAACAACTCAATTTTAATGGTTATCAAGGTGTGCATCCAGTTAATTGTGTTTTACTTTAATATTTTAGATCTGATTAGGCATTTTGCATGAATTTCACCGTTCAATAATAACTGTTTCAAAAATGTTCGATCAAGATAATCTACGAAACATGTTTCTTAAGACAACGCTTTCGTTTTGTATGTACCCAATTATGCTTATAAGTTGATGTGTGTTACAAATTAACTAAATATTGCAGTTAGTTTTTTACACATTGATCAATTGGGGAGTGCTTTTCAAATTATGTTGCCAAAATTCTCACAATTCATATTTAAAACTATTTTACGAAAAACGTAGACTGATGAAAAATAACACATTTCAAAGAAAAGTATGCAAATAAACAGTTGAAAAGAGCTTCTAATATTAAATGTCAATTTATAGTTAGCTGAGAGCATTTAAACAAGGAATATTGTTGAATCATCCGTTTCATATGATATATAATAGCTTTGACATTCCATACAAAGTAACAATGTGTAGTAACCATGTTAAGCTTTTTAAATATCTTTTAACAACGTTATATTTACAACCATATAATATTGTTTACATCTTCAGTGAAATAAACATCCATTCCTCACCTCGATCGTATTCGCTATTGGTTCGAACAGTTAGAATATATAAGATTAAATCACAACTCCAGTGATATATTTGCTTCAATTATGGATGGTCTACTAATGGGACAAGGATATGTTGGTTGACATACATCATGTTTGTTATTCATTTATATCATACTTCAAAACAGATTATTCGGGAAAATTCATACTTTGGTTGATCTCAAAATCCTTATAAAATGGTATTCATGAAGAAAGTCAAAGTTATGGGAAAAGTCACAGATTTAATGCAAAAACCAGGGCGAAAGGTATTTATGAATATGGAGACATTCGCAATAGACTAACAGTTTAACATTTACGTACAGCAGACAAGTTTTATGGAAAAGTGCTGAAGGAGAAAACGAATCAAGGTAAGTTTCACATTGGATTTTGAGTAAAAGTCAGTGGGTATGTCTGTCAGGGAAAACCTATACACAAAATATCACAAAGTAGGTGCGCTATCATCTCTCCACACCACAACAGAACCATAAATACAGTTTTATGTGGACTAAAAAAAGATTCACCAAACGTGCCGATGAAAGCTTCCGGGATGTGTATATAAAATGCTGCCAGTGATAAGTATGAAGTCCCCAAATTATGATCTGCTTTGATTAATGTAGTTTAGGAGTGATAACTTCCTCAAGGTTTTACTTGGTGTTCAAAGTACTTATTTCCATGAAAGAATTCAAATGAAATATTTCTTATATGTTAGAAAAAGCTCTATATCACTGCTAACGAAAGATAACCCAAATAAATTCGAAATGCTGTTAGATTATATGGAAAAAACTAGTAGAGCAGAAAAGGTATTGCTCCAACTGAACATATGAAGTTTGGCATTTCCAATATCAAATAAACTTAATACATGAATGTCTATAAGGAAAGAACGACACAGATTCGTAGAATTTTGGGAAACTCATGCCTCTTGTAGCTAAGTCTTCATACACGTGTCAACCTATCCCTGATTTCCAGTTGAAAATTTCCCGACTGATTGTTGATTTTGTGTCTAACACAATCCAATTTTTTTGTCTTACGTAATAAAAACTCCTAAGAACCTAGCACAGTAGTTTGAAGACACATAAAAAGTCATTTTTCACCCAGTTATCGACTTTTACAACAGCTCTTAGCAAACTAACCTCCTTTCATAGATGCATCCAAACTAATGTCAAAACAATGTCTCGTGTAACATAGCTTTAATAGTCTTATGGTATATACATTTGTATTTATAATTTAATTAGCGTTATTAAACCAGTCCTTCTATATGGATGTTATATCAAAACATATAGAACTAGGAATACGAAAATACCATGATTTGTAAGGGTGTACAGATATGGTGGCTGGTTATTGCCTACAAACGAATCTTGGCGTACATAAAACAGAAAGAAAGGAAAAACATGTTGAAATTGAAAGTGTCACGAACCTGGTGTATTTATACTTTAGAAACAACGTGATACAGTTAGAAAAAAATACCTGCGTTGTTTAAATTGGGTTCTGAAAATAGACAAGCCATCCAGTCACATGCATTGGGTTTTATGCAGAATTTCAAAGCCACAAACCTTCCACATAGCAAGTGACTACAAAATTTTGGATATAGTTAGATACATAGTGACACTAAAAGCATGTGTTTAAAATGCCAGTATTATAATGCTATTTATAAACAGTAATAGACATCATACGCTCACTAATTATGAAACAAAGACAAGCGGTGGGTTTAGTAAATATTTTGAAATCATTTTTAAAAAGTAATTCGGACGTTATACGTCAATACACATTGACTCGTAACTGGTGTGCATGTTAAAAAGTATGCAGGAAATGACATCCCCTCCATAATAATAAACTGAATATACACAATAAACATTACCAAACATTTTTCCTTCATCTGAAATAATAATTTTTCTTCTTCCACAAGGTGGATAAATAATCAAAGCTTCACGAAAACTTTGCTCGATTTCTGGTGACCAAACACTGTCTTTTGAATCATCCTTCGTTTCTTGGTCCTCTTCATCTTCCTCCAAGTCATAGCCATACGTTTTATAGTCGATGGCTTTGGAGTTTTCATGGTTTTGTCGATTTAGTCTTTCGATATAATCACCACTTTTAATCATAGCGGACAAACTTTACTCGTTTTTCTCGTAATTGCGTACAGTATAACCTTGTAGCTTATACATTAAAACAAAACACAACATATTGGAAGAAGTTTGACTTAGAACTATTTAAAAGAATATGGATCGCTGAGATGTTGTTCTGTTCAACATGTATTTTGGTGTCTGACAGTTTTACCAATGGTAAGCTGGTCAAATGCAATATTCTATATAAACCTCTCGTAATACTGAATCCGAACATTTTCACCACGCTTGATGAGCTAGTGTGCAAGCGCAAACGCCAAATATTTGTTAGCGTGTACCTCATAAATCATGTCGAGCTCATAACTATCAAATAATAATCAGATTCTGTTTTTCGTAACCATCCGGTTCAACTTCAACAAAAGAAATCATGAACAAGTACGTTATCCGAAATCCATTCAACTGCAGTGAGTAGTTTTGAAAGAGTGAACAAATGTCAAAAATATCCTTAAATAAACGACGGATATGTATTCACCGGTACTTGGTTTTAATATACATTTTTAGAGTTCTTAAAAAAAATCGTGAACTCGGAACTTCAACTACGTCAGTAGTCAGAAATTTACCATCGAGATAGCTAAACTTTTCTCACGCTGTATCCAGCACTCTATGATGTCAGGAATATATTCAAAAGGGTTTCGGCTATGTTAATAAATGGAAGCGAGCAAACGATAATTCTTAATTCCTAAACTTCAGCACTGTTGAGTTGGCAAGTGCGCCCAGGTCAAGTTCCTCAAGTTAAAATATAACAATTGTCCAACAATGTTTCTTGGTTTAAAATGGTTTCCTAGCTGGTTTTATTCAGATACGGATAATATTTCCGTAAAGAACCTTTAACTAAACCTATGACAGTTCAACAGATAAGTAGCCAAGACTCAAGTGCTAGTGTGTCATTAGGTTGTAGTGACCTACTTTTGTCAACAGAACGCGATTGGTTCAATGAAAACAATTATTATTATAACCAATTGTACCAGTGACTGTTTTACTGTGCTCGTTTGTTTAATTGTGCTAATGACAGCCACTATATTTACTCTCCCGTTGACTTTGAACTTGTACGAATCCGGTTACGCTCAGTAACCACGCTTGTACTCCTTTGGCACGATCTCGGTATTCATTCGATACCACGAGATCGCCAACAAATACATCTCGACTACAGCAAACATCTGCCTTCTGATATTGGCCTACGGGGATCTTATTGGTTAATTGGCACGTAGTCTTGTAGCAGTGTTCATAGTCAAGCTCAACTCGACACCACGCTACATTTGGTGAGCCAAATATTGGAACACGCCTCAACCTCGGTCAAATCTTTCAAAGAAGGCAATTCGGTGAGTCTATTGTTTTATCTATCCACGTCTGTCATACATTTTCATGTTGATTTTTAATATATAATATATTTGACATGACGGATAACGATAAGAATAGTATTAATATAATAGACTCCGATGTACGCGTACCGAATCCTCGGCACTTTTTATTCGCGTGACGATAAGTTCCCCACCTTATTCGAGAAATTCCCCAGAATAACTAAACCACTCGAGGAGATTTCATCGATGACCAATCGTGTGGTACACCACATAGTCACCCGCGGACCACCAGTCACGGCAAGACCACGCCGACTGGCACCGGACAAATTAGCTTTCGCTAAACGTGAGTTTGACAATTTACTATCTGCTGGTATTATTCGTCCTTCTCACAGTCCTTGGGCCTCTCCTTTACACATGGTGCGCAAAAAGGATGGGGTTAGTTGGAGACCATGCGGCGACTACCGAGCTTTAAACGTAGTTACGCGCTTTGATAGTTACCCCATCCCCCACATACATGACATCACGACATCGCTCAAGGGCACGACTATCTTTTCTAAAATCGATCTGGTACGAGCATATCACCAGATCCCAGTCGCTCTTGAAGACATCGAAAAAACTGCTATCACGACTCCTTTCGGTCTGTTTGAGTTCCTACGAATGCCATTTGGATTGCGGAATGCTGCTCAAACTTTCCAAAGGTTTATCGATAGCATAGTACGAGACTTGGATTTTGTTCACGTCTATATTGATGACCTGCTGATCGCATCATCAAACGTAGATGAACATTATCAACACCTTACGCTATTATTCCAACGTCTTTCGGATAATGGAATAGTAGTCAACCCAGAGAAATGTGAATTGGGTAAATCAGAAATAATATTTCTGGGTCACATCATCAGACAAGAGGGTATTCTGCCTTGCGAGGACAAAGTTCGAGCAATCAAGGAGTACAACATGCCGTCCTCAATCAAGGAACTGAAGGCTTTTCTCGGTTTGGTTAACTTCTACCGACGTTTTATCCCTCACGCGGCAGAACGGTTACGACCATTAACCGATTTACTTCGCGGTAATCCACGCAAATTAGAATTGAACGATACCGCACGTACTGCATTCTCAGAGATCAAAACGGCTCTGGCTGAAGTTACACTTTGTAGAAATACGGTCTACTATGATATTAGCACTTTTCTAATAATAGACCTATTCCATAAATTGTAGAGTTGTCATGATGTAACTGCCTAATCTATAAGATCTTACGTGGAAGTCACATCATCGTCTACAGCAACTCATTGCACTGTAACAATTACCAATACGTGATAGAGAACAAGCTTAGGCTAGAGATAGAATATATTTAATATGAATAGAAGATACAAGATAACATTCAGCTGGTACCACACCTGCAAGGCCGAGCCATGCCATCCGATGAGCTCGGACACTTTCAATTTATTATTCCCGCCTTCTCCATTCTTCTGTATTTCTCCGCGTTAAATGTTTAATGTCTATTTCTCATATTGTCTCGTGGTAGGGCCCAATGCCACTACAACTTCTCGCTCATCCTGACCCATCAGCCACGCTTAGTATAGCGGTTGATGCATCAGATTTCGCTATAGGAGCCGTCATACAACAGAATATCTCCGGTAGTTGGCAACCGCTCGAATTTTTCTCACGACGTCTTACTCCCACGGAGACGAGATGTAGCGCTTTTGCTCACGAACTGCTAGCATTCTACTGTGCCATCAAACATTTCCGGCACGCAGTAGAAGGACGTCAATTCATTTTATTCACCGATCATAAGCCCTTAACGTATGCCCTGCATACCAAGTCTGACCGCTACTCACCACGAGAGTGCAGACAATTGGACTATATCTCACAGTTCACGACGGACCTTCGTCACATTAAAGGCGAGTCGAACTATGTTGCCGATGCTCTTTCACGTATCCAGACGAATGCAGTTACCTTACCGGTGCTCGATCTTCCTGCTATGGCCGCCGCGCAAGCAAACGATCCTGTCTGTACAGAAGCACCACAATCTTCGTCCCTTCAGTGTCAGGAAGTACCTCTAGCTACTAGCTCAGGTACTATCCTATGTGATATTTCTACCGGTCTTCCTCGACCCATCGTACCCTCTACATATCGTCGTCTCGTCTTCGATGCCCTTCATGGATTGTCTCATCCAGGTATCGCAGCCACATTACGTCTCATCGCTGCACGATACGTCTGGCCGTCCATGAATAAAGATGTTCGTATGTGGGTAAAGCAATGCTTACAGTGTCAACGATCAAAAGTGCACAGGCACGTTGCTGCCCCCATTAGCACGTTCGCCACGCCTGATGCTCGCTTTGATCACGTTCATATAGACATTGTAGGACCATTGCCACCATCGCATGGGTATGATCACATACTCACGTGCATTGACCGTTTTACAAGATGGCCCGAAGCTATTCCCATCACGTCTATCACGGCGGAGACAGTTGCTCACTGCTTCGTAGAACGATGGATAGCATTGTACGGTTGTCCCTCAACTGTCACGGCTGACCGAGGACAACAATTTGAGTCCGCATTATTCTCCTCACTGACCCGGCTGCTTGGTACGGAACGCATACGCACTACCGCCTACCATCCAGCATCGAATGGTTTAGTCGAAAGGTTTCATCGCCAACTTAAAAGTGCTCTCCAAGCACACGAAAACGATAACTGGTACGAAACCTTACCGCTCGTTCTCTTAGGTATCAGAACGAGTTTGAAGGCAGATATCCAATGTTCCGCCGCTGAACTTGTATACGGCACGACATTGCGTCTGTCTGGGGAATTCTTCACACCACGGAGCAGTAATGATTTTGGTAAATCAGACTACGTCCATCGACTGTCTGCATTTATGCGAACGCTGTCTCCGGTGTCAACTCGAATACAACATCGACAGGTCGCTCTCCCTCGAGAGTTATCTACCTGTTCACATGTTTTCATACGAGTAGATTCGGTACGCAGACCTTTGCAACAGCCTTATGAAGGCCCTTTTCACATGATCTCTCGTCACGAAAAGACCTTCAAGGTTGATCTACACGGCCGCGTCGAGATCGTCAGCATTGATCGTCTCAAACCAGCACACGTCGATGACAGTGCCCTACCCGATAACTTGAGACTCCATGCTAGACCTATCAAACCTTCTAGCGGGATCTCTACGTCTACCTCGGATCCCACGCTAGATACATCAGAGACCTCGTTTTCACGTCCCGGTCAACAGCACGCGTCATCTGCACCATCTACAGACGAGGCTTCAATCTCACGTCCAGACCGGCAAACCACGCCGCCCTTGACCTCGGATGAGATCGCAGGCTCACGAAGCACGAACGAGACTACCGTCTCACGTTCCGGTCGCCGAGTACGATTACCCGTACGCTTTCGCGACTAACCGCACAGTCAATAACGGATACGGTGTAGGATTATTCCTATACTACACGCATGCTACACTTTTCTTTTTTTGATTTTTTTGTATCCTGAGCCCACGCCTCCGACCATCGCCCGTTCGGTAACGTCGACTTCAGTCAACTTTGGCAAAAGCTGGTTTGGCCACCCATGCTCTAGTCAACGCACTCAGTCGATTATCTGGTCTCGAATTCGCCTGGCATACGCTTGGTCGTTATGGTCGCGTCCGGTTTCTTGGCTCAACGTGGTTTCTTCCTACGTCTGCAGCGTTTTCTGGTTCGCATCCCTACGAAC